AACGTAAATACATCTTCCTGAAATCTGTAATTTTTCTTTTCATGTTATAAACAGACACTTCAAATTTATTATATGTAGATAGAGATAGATAGATTATTCTTTTGTCGTGTTTCGTATATTATTGTAATTTGATATTACATTGTTATCAATTCAATTAGACTTTATTAATATAACAACTACAATTTAACACTAACTGTGTGTATGGGAAACGATAAATCACGATTTAAGAGAATAAATTGTAATAACAATAATTGTAAACAAGTCACAAAATATTTTGTTTCAATATAACATTGTTTTTAAGCCCGCTATACATAATTATTGACCGACTTCCCAAAAGAAGGAGGTACTCAATTCGTCGATATGTTTTTTTTATTTTTTTTTATGTGTGTTACGGCATAACTCCGCCGCTAGTGGACCGATTTTGATAATTCTTTTTTTATCCGAAAGGTCATGCTAAAAGGGTCCCATTTTTTGTTTAATTTTTGGAGTCTAAGACTACAACGTAGTTAAATAGTTTAGCTCAAAATCGCGCGACGAAATTTCGTGTCATTTTTGCTTTCTTTTTCTCTTTATTTTTGATAGGGACTTTGGTTCCTTAGAACATGTCAGTCCCACACCATTAGTTTTAATGGAACAGTTAAAACTTACGCGGGTAGGCAAAAAATTTAACTTTCACTTCAACTGTACAGTTCTCAGTTTAGCATACACACGTTTTAATTGTATCTTTTGAGTGTTTAGTAAAACCTAGTTATGACGTAATTCCTTGTAAAGATGATTTTATTTGCATGAGTATTTTGTCAATAGAAGCCGACGTTTAGAACTTCGTTTTAAGATTCACTATCAGTTGGTTTGTAAGCCATGTGATTACGACTGACCTAATTATTTCGGATCTTACAAACATTTCGTTATTTCAGTTTTACGACTAATTGTAACGTTTACACAAGCTATAAATAACCTAATCTATAATTTGCATATATATTTCATCTATACTAATATTATAAAGGGGAAATAGTTGTATTTTTGTATGTTTTGAAATAATTAGAAAATTACTTGGTCGATTTTAAAATTTATTTTACTGTTAGAAATGTAATTTATCTGTGAGTAACATATTCTATATCCTTTATTTCACGGGGACGAAGCTGCGGGCAACAGCTAGTCGTTAATATGAGGGATATAAAAATAAACGCAAATCTACCTATTTTAGCTATTATCAGCTATATTCCACAAGCTTTTGTCACTTCGGGTAATCTTACTTCTTACTAATATTATAAATGTGAAGATTTAGATGGATGTTTGTTAGAGTTTGTTGCCTAAGGCTGATCGGATGCCGTTGAAATTTGGCATCTATGATATTTATAGTTTGGAACATATAGTCTACTTACAATTGATTTTTATTCCCCTTGGACGGAGTCGCGGGCGAAAGCTAGCTATATTTATAAAAGTTGCCTTTCTAAGTGAATTCGCAGTGATATGGTTTATTATGTACATTGAAAATTAAAACGCTTAAAATTAACATACCTTTATTGATTACATAATAACTTTTTAATTAGTTGAGTTTCTGTTGTCATTGAGAAAGTAGTTTCCGGAGCTCCGCGAATAGAATTTTCCGTACTTCAGAAGACATTGAGTAGACGGTTCTAGGGTTGCCACCTCTGCAGGTTTGCATATTGTTTGATCTAATTAATGAAATGATGTCTTCGGGTATGAATAGGTGGTGTGTAAGAAGTAACTATCGACTGAATTTATACACATTGAAACACAATGAAATTGTACACCCCAGAGTACGCAGGGCGGCCCGCGCGCTCACCCCCAGACTCCAATCGGGAGTCTAGGCGTAAACGCGAGGAGGGGGATTCTCCAATATCAGAGACATTGGTACCCCCCTGGGGTAAATACTCTTTACTTCCTGCTAGCATGCTGAGGGTGGGGGGG